AAAATCTTTAAAAAAAAAAAAAAAAAGGACCTGAGCTGAGATCAAGAGTCAGAGGCTTGGGGCACCTGGGTGGCTCAGTCGTTAAGCATCTGCCTTCGGCTCAGGTCATGATCCCAGGATCATGGGATCGAGCCCCGCATTGGGCTCCCTGCTCCGTGGGAAGCCTGCTTCTCCCTCTCCCACTCCCCCTGCTCGTATTCCCTCTCTCACTGTGTCTCTCTCTGTCAAATAGATAAAATCTATAATAAAAATAAATAAATAAAAAGCTCCACAAATTTAAAAGAAATGAAAGCACACAAAGGATGTTCTCCTATCATGACGGAATTAGACTAGAGACTGACAACCGAAAGATTTCTGAGAAATCCCCCAAATATTTGGAAATTAAACTCACTTCTAAATAACCCATAAAGGAGTAGGAAGTGCTGAACAACTGCAGGGATTCTTCTAAGAAATGGAACAGGGTAACCAATCCTTTACCTGGATGGCACAGTAATGCACACAGAAAAGTGTGACACCTAAAGAGTGAGAGTCATCCCAGCTTCCCACCTTTTCCCCACCAGTTCCATCACTCAATCAATCAATAATCAAGTCCTGATGATGTTATTCCTAATCATTTCTCAATGCCACCACATCCTTTCCATCACTTGCTTTGTCTTTCTCCCAAACCACAACACGTGTCCCAGCTGTTATTCTGATCACCATCATCCACACAGCCACCCACGTGATCTAAACCATCTAACCATGCCATTTCCTGAGTGTCGGGGGTAAATGAATTGATATTGGTAAAGCTCTTAAATAGTGGCTGGCACGTAGGAAGCACTATATCATCATCATTATTATTATTAACCGAGCCCTTGATGGTTGCCGTCACCTGTGGGGAAGAGATTCAAGCCCCTCAACTTGGCAAACAAAGCCCTCTGCCACCTGGCCCTGGCCCTTCTCTGGCTTTATTGCCCACAGCTTCCTTTCTTCATCTATTTGCTCCAGCTTTCCCTCTTCTTTCCTTTTCCCCAGCCCACTTCCTCTTGGAGGCCTTCCCTGACCTCCTCAGGCAGTGGCAGTTGGCCCACTCTGAGCTCTCAATGTTGCCCAAGCACATTTCTTACACAGCTCTCACCAGGTCTGTGTCTGCCTTCCCAACAGGCTTAACCAAACTTAATTCTCTCTTTCCTGAACATAAATATATTTAATAACAGAAATGAAAACTGTCAGGGCACCTGGGTGGCTCAGTCGGTTGAGCACCTGCCTTGGGCTCAGGTCATGGTCCTGTGGTCCTGGGATGGAGCCCCATTGGGCTCCCTGCTCAGTGGGGAGTCTGCTTCTCCCTCCTCCCCCCACCCTGTGCTCTCTCTTGCTTGTGCTCTCTCTCAAGTAAATAAATAAAATATTTAA